ATAAAGCAACACCCCTGTTCTCTGTTCTCTCTCCCTCTTCCTCTTTCTTCCTTTCCTTTATTCTTTTTTTTATTTTCTTTTTCTTTCTTCCTCAAAAAAAAAAAAAAAAAAAGAAGTTACTCACTTAAAGTAAGCATAAAATTGGCTCTAAAGTCAGTTCTACATCCTATGGGAAATCTAGCATGCCAAGATGTCTTTAAGTTCTGAAAAACTATTTTTCTTCTTATCTGTCTGGCTGTGATTTCTGGCTTCTGCATCTTGCACCTGTTTCTCTGTTGCTGCCTTGTCATTGACTTAAATGTTGAAGATGGCATCTACTACTTGAGCTATTTCCCCATAGATTCATCTCCCAGGAGGCAGTCATACACAGGAGGCTTTTACTGGAGATTTAAGGGTTAGAGCTAGGAGGAGCTTACAGAAGATAATTTGAATATCAAATTCAAGAGATCTTTAAAATTACTTTCTTAATTTCTGCCAATTTCATCTCCAAATTCTCATTTATCCATATCCCTACTCCTCCTTCTCTCTCCTATTAGTTTCCATAGATCAAATTATTGCTCTTTGGGACATCAACTTTTCATTTCCACCATCTCCTTCCTTGTAATCTCCTTATCAAAATATTGAGGAGAGGTTGGCAGGCACATGTGAGGGCAAAGTTCTTAATCAGGGGTCCTGCACACCAAGGGAGCTCTCTTACAGGCTTCTTTGGTTACACTGACCCTAAAAAATCATATGCAAAATGTTGCAAGTATGTGTGTCTGCACATACACAGATTCAATATTTTGCAGGAGGAGAGAACTTGTAGATTTTACAAGAATTTAAAAGGCCTCTCTCGTTCAAAGAATTCAGGTGCTATGGTTGTACAGCCTTATTTTGACCATGTTTTTTAACCATAATGAAACACTACAAAGCCCCATTCAAGACAAAGAAATGGAAACACACAAATCTATATTATACATGAGGTAAGCCTCATTTAATAAATTTAAAACTGCTATGCAATTGTTTATGTTCATGATAAAGATAAAATGAAGTATGAATTTGACAGACTACAAATAAATCTTGCTTCTCTAAATAATGCACTTTAGGATTTATTTGAATAATGATTTTCTTTGTGCAAGCAAACATTTTTTGTGTGTGCATTAGTAACTGAATAGCTAGAAAAGAAGACAGAGTGGTAGATCAGGACATATATTTAAAGTAATATACAAGGTATAATATAACTGAAATTCATAACAGAAAGCAATGTAGTATATAGCCCAGGACTGAGCATTTGAAGACGTGAGTTATGGCAACCTTGGGCAAGCTGCTTAAATTTTCTTAATGAGAGACCTCCCATTGCATATTAACAACATGCAAGAAAAACGATGATGATGATGATGATGTTCATGAAGCATCTCTAAAGAGAATGAAATTCAACTGAACATAGTTTTTCAGTTACAAGAGACTTTTTTATTTTTTTTTTAGTTGGAGTCTCGCTCTTGTCTCCCAGGCTGGAGTGCAGGGGCACAATCTCTGCTCACTGCAACCTCTGCATCCCTGGTTCAAGCAATTCTGCCTCAGCCTCCCAAGTAGCTGGGACTACAGGTGTGAACCACGACACCTGGCTAATTTTTTGTATTTTTAGTAGCAACAGGGTTTCACTGTGTTAGCCAGGATGATCTCGATCTCCTGACCTTGTGTTCTGTCTGCCTCGGCCTCCCAAAGTGCTGGGATTACAGACATGAGCCAACAGGAGACTTTTAAGCAATGCCTGGAGAAGGTGCTCACCTATCAAAGAGAGTGGGGTATGTGGCATAGAGCTGGGCACATGGGGGCTCTTCATGAACACCTACTGCTGCTTCGTCAACAAAGTGTGGGCTTGCACATTTATTTTAGGCAGTTCCTTCCCTGCAATGATCATGAGCCACTCCTGAGCTTGACTGCAACCTCTGGTAACCTCTTAGCCAGCATATTAAAAACACACAATAGCAGTTAAGAACAATGAATGACTTCTGGTATTTTTGGAGAGCATACCATACTACTTCAAGAAGATATAATAATAATTGGTTGTCATTTCATCAGCTGAGAAATAATTCTTGTTCCCTGCTTTCAACAATGCCCGCTGGTAATATTATGACACATAATATGAACAACAATTTCTACTTTCTCTCATGGAACTGTTTTAGAAAATTATTGTTAGCTGTGTCCTAAACAGGAAAAAAAATAACTTGTCTCTTTGAGGCTTAAGTATGCTAATTATTTGGGAGATTAATTTCGTTGAATTGCATCATGGTGCTATTCCTGAAGGCCAGCAGGAGTTACACTGAAAAGAATGGCTATGTGAAGGGTAAATGTTCTCTCAGACTTAAGCAGTGAGGCTCAATGTAATTTAGGAATCTAATGTGGACATTGAGTGTGACAGGGAGAGGCACGGGACCCCAATGAGTTGGTTTCTTCACTAATTACACCTAGAGAGACATCTGTAGGATCATAGTGTATAGATTGTAGTTGCATATAGTAGACACAAATAAGATTTCAAAGAAGATGACTTAACCCATCAGTCTCAACCACCTGTGACATTAAGAGAGAAAATACTGTAAAAGTGCTATGACGAATGATGTGATGTGGAATGATTCATTGATCTGTTAAGATGTGCTTTAAAAAGGCCCACTCATAACATTTTGCAGGGTTAGATATACAAGTATAAAAAGAAGTCAGCATACCAGACTTACCCCATAGGAAAGGGCACTCATGGAGAAGGGACAAAGAAGTGTCTTTCAAGGACAAAGTCCAGGAAGGAAGCCCTTCTTGCTCTGGTATAAGGCAGTTACTGTTTTCAGATAAGAACAGATTAGAAAATGAGCCAAAGAAGCAAGGCAAACACAAAGGAATGAAGCACTGATACATGTTAACAGGGAATGAACCTTGAAACATTATTCTATTTGAAAGAGGCTGGACACAAAAGGACACATATTCGAGAACATGAAAATCTATATATAGTGAGAGGGTAAATTGTGGTTGCTTAGGGCTGAGGGTGTTGGCTGGAGGGCTGGGAAGTAATAGCTAAAAGGTACAGGATTTCTTTGTGAGATAATGAAAATATCTAAAATGGGCTGTGGAGATGGTTGCACATAGCTGAAAATGTACTAAATATTATTGAGTTGTACTTTAAATGAGTGAATTGTATTTTATGTGAATAAAGCTGTTAAAAGACAGAACAGAGGCAAATGCAGTTTAGTACAATTAAATGAGGAGACTGCTTCTGGTCTTCAAAGTTAAATTTCTACCCAGGTAAAACTTTGAATCAGACAGATTGTAGTTCATTTGCAGGCTTTGCACTGTCTAGGTTTCATGATGCTGGGCAATGTTTAAAATTATTCTGTACTTCATTTTCCTCATCCACAAGGTGACGATGTTACTTCTGACATAGTGTTGTGATGGGATTAAATGACGTGGTGCCATATAGTAGCATTCTATAAAGAGTAGCTAATAATTAACATCATTATTATTAATCATAATTAAAAGAATTATGTCTCATTCACTACTAGACACAGGTGGATTCATTGAAGAGTAATATGAGGTTGTCTGAGGAATTCTTAAGACCTAAGATTGTCTATGCTAACAGCAACAATAATTCATGGAAGTCAGCTGAAAGAATCCAATTTACATAAGCTGTCAAGCATCAGTCACTGACCAAACCAAGAGAGCAAGACAGGCGTCAAATCTGACTACAGGAGCTGTAGGCAGTGAGAAGAGGAAGTAGAGACTATGTGAGGAGCTAGAACCCCCAACGATAATCATGACCACAGAAATGGAAAGTGGGATGAATGAATAAGACACTTTGGGGGTGTGGGAGCACAGAGGAAAAACTCAGACTGGTCCAGAGACACTGAAGGGTCCTTAGAGCTGAGGTTTTTGAGCCAATCTATACAGGATGTGTTGCTCAGGTGGACAAGGTGCATGGAGATGGAAAGCAAGATTGTTTGGAGAACCGCATGTGTTTCTGTGGTTTATCAAGGGTTTTTATATTGTGGGTGGGAGAGCACTGCAGATGAGAATGGAGGGGCGGGCTCTGCCACATCATACATGTCCTATATGCAATGCTGACAAACGGGGATTTTATTCTGTGGGTGATTAAAAGAGTTTTAGGCCATGGACAGGCATGATCATATTTGTGCTCTGGAAAAATTTCCCTTCTAATACATATGGAAAACAGAAAAACAGCAAGGAAACTGGAAGTAAGGAAAGCCAGAAGGAGGCTGCTGATACAAGTCATGAATAGATGGAAGAATTTTAAAAATATAAAGTGGATACAAATATACCATTAGTTCCTGATTGAATTCAAGAACTAATGGTATAGACATAATAAAAAATAACAAGTTTTTAACTTAAGTGATGGGAGTGGGTCACAGAATTCTGTAATTAAAAACGTGAAAATCAGTGGTATGAAGGTATGAAGATAAACATGACCCTTAGGTTTCCTAGCACATAGTCATTTCCAGCGTTCCAGTGTAGGAAACAAGCAGGAATCCAGAAGAGATGTGCTCGGGGATCGACTGACTTTGATGTGAGGTTGCCCTGTGTTTTCTCTTTGTGCAAGCTTTAATGGTGGCGAGACAATGAGGAGATCCTTATATTTACTCATGGGCAGGAGCTTAGTCTACGTATTTGTATATAAAATAAATGATCTTTGAAGGTAGCTAATGGGTAGGTTCAAATAAAAACATTGCCCTAGCATAGGTCAACAGAAGCCAGTAAATTCCTATGATACCCTTTTAATTTAAAAAGTCACCATTTGTTTTATATTTTAACATTTTTAATATAGTAAAGAGAAAAAGAAAGTCCATCTGCCCCTTTGCCAAAATGCAAATGATTCGATCTGGGAATTTGGGTTTCCTTGAACTGTGTGGCAGTATAGCCTAAAACAAGGGCTTAGGGGTAAGAAACAATCTGAGGTTTGAAACTTCACTCCAGCAACTTATTATTGGGTTGTCTTATTTTATTTCTTTCCATCTGTACAGTCAATGAAGACAACAGCGGTGCTGATATGAGGACTGAATGACACAATGGCTGCAAAGCACCCAGCGAGAGTGATCAGAAGGCAGATACTCAGACTTCTTATTCAGGACTCTGCACTTCCGAGTTAGCGCCAGAATGATTTCTCATTTTTGTGAACATGAAAAGGCCTGTTTTTTTATCATCCCCATCCACACCTTTTCTTTCTGCCTCCTGTCCCTAAGGATAGCAATAAAACATATCTGGAAGCCCAATTAGGCAAGCACAACTCCTGTCTGTCTTATCTTAATCCTGCCAGTAATAGAACAGTAATTGTTCAGAGAAACTACAAGGGAAATGGTGGGTAAGGAGAGTAGACGCTGCTCCAATTGATCTCAATTACTGTCATGAAATTGAGTCTTCTGTCCGACATCTAAATTTAATGCTTCTTTTCCCTGAGGATCTGTCGCTGGTTGTTGCCTTCTATTGTATCTGCGGTTGGCCTGTCACCGTCTGCATTACCCTCTTCATCAGAATGAAGGAATTGTTTTCATTCACCTAGAATTTCCTCTGTATGCTTTTCTGCTGCCTAGATCCTTCCTCTAGTCCTCTGACATTCATATTTGAATCTTTTCATTTTCTTTGGCTCAACACCCAGGGAAGAACTATGTTGTGGCTTGGCATACAAAGAATTAATTTCCATTTATGAACAAGAAGACAATTTTTCAAAACCTAAACAAGATGAGTGTAGGCTTTGCCCAAAGGATGAAAACATTCTGAAGTGAATTATATCCCTCTTTATTTGGGTGCAATTAGGAAAGTTAATTATGGGTAATTTTCAGCATGCATATGCTTTCACTTTGCTGATTTATAAGAAGGCATAAACATAATTAGGTGTGCATATGCATCCTCACAGTTTAATGGGCCCTGTATTCCCGGTAATAGGGAGGCTCAGCATGTTGTTGATGTGTCATTTTTCAGACTAAGGTATAGGAAGCTTTCTTGGATTGACTGTCCCTAGGAAATTACAGGGAAATGCAAGGTATATAGTTATATGAATTCAGAAGTAATGGTATCTTAGGATACATTCACCATCTGCTTTTCATCTTAAAAGACATTCAATGGATTTAGATGGATTTAGACAATATGTGTCCTTAAAATAGCAGTTCATTTTATTTAAGTTGTAAAGTTATCTGTGTTTAGAAATTAATAAATTTATAGTGTTTTAGAAGTCCATAAAAAAGCATCCAGTTAAGATGAGGTTTTATAGATGAGGTTGTTCAAGACTCATTGAATTGAAGCAATCTTCTCAAGGTTATGTAGTTTTTGAAAAGCCTATAAAAGAGTTGGTGAAAGATGAAAGAAGTAGAATTTTTTTTTTTTTTTTTTGAGTCGGAGTTTCGCTCTTGTTACCCAGGCTGGAGTGCAATGGCGCAATCTCGGCTCACCGCAACCTCCGCCTCCTGAGTTCAGGCAATTCTCCTGCCTCAGCCTCCTGAGTAGCTGGGATTACAGGCACGCGCCACCATGCCCAGCTAATTTTTTGTATTTTTAGTAGAGACGGGGTTTCACCATGTTGACCAGGATGGTCTCGATCTCTTGACCTCATGATCCACCCGCCTCGGCCTCCCAAAGTGCTGGGATTACAGGCGTGAGCCACCGCGCCCGGCCTAGAAGTAGAATTTTTTTTATTGTTGATGTAGCATCTGCATTTGCCTGGATTCCCAGCTTTAGTGCCAGCAGGACCAGCTACATAATTTGCAGGGCTTAGTGCAAAATGAAAATTCAGGTCCCTTGTCCAAAAATGAAGACTTTAAAGATGATAACCACAGAGCATTAAACCAAGCACAGAGTCCTTCTAAGCTCAGGGCCCTGTTTGCACTGGTTGCACATCTATCAAGATGACTCTGAGTACCACAATAGTATGAGATCACACAAAATTGGCTTCTAAAAGGTAGTGAGCAGAATGATGCCAAGATCAAGGTTATGGAGAAATAATTGCAAACAGTATTTCCATGGGCACTGGTCAGAGAACAAGAAAGGTCAATATCACATCTGAGAAAGTTTATGTAACTTTTTCCAAATAACTGCTTAAATGCTAGAAACAGAACTTGTCTGATTAATCAATAGACAATCAGTTATGCTTGAAAAACAGCGAAATTTCTTCAACTTCCCATTTACTGGAACTTCCTTCTTTTGGAAAACAAGCAAAAGGGTAAGGTAATGAAGGCATACAGTATATTTAGAAAGACCCAGTTATAATAAAGACAATACACATATTTTGTCAAAATATCTGTCATAATATTCTAGGCACTATATTAGGTGATAATGTAGAATATCATATGCTTTCTCCTGAGGAGTTTTCTGTCCAGCAGAAAAGATAATCTTATAAAATTACTTTCATGAAAATTAGAAAGTTCTGAGTGGTTTCAATAGTAATTTCAGAGCTCAGATAAATGAAAACAGACTAAATGGGAGCTAATTTACATTTATTGTTCCTGTACTGTATGCCAAACTGTATTAGTGAATCCTCTCAAAGTTGTACTGTGAAATAAGTATTAGTATCCTCAATTGTGAGATGTTTAATCAGAGACTAAGAGAATTTAAGTTACTCATCCATGACCACAGATATCATAAAGGAGAGCTTTAGGATGACACTGCAAGTACATCTGATTCTGTAAGCCAGGGATTCTCAAATGAAGTTCTTGGACCAACTACATCAGCATCAGCTGAGAGCCGCTAGAAATGCAAATACTTGGACCCCACGCCATACCTACTGAATCTGAATCTCTGGTGTTGGGGGCGGGGGTGGGCAGCAGTCTGTTTAGCAAGCCCTCTGAAGGATACTGATGTGCCCTGGAGTTTGAGATCCACTGAATTACCTAATGCTCTTTCTTCTCTGTCTTATTCTGCTTTTTAACACTTATTGAGTACCTATTATGAGTCCAACATTCTGCTAAGTGTTTGATGTATTTTAACGATTTAATCCTTGTAATTATCTAGATAAGCAGGTGTTGTGCTTCATTTTTAGATTTAATGAAACTGAGGATTAGGGAGACTAAATAACTAGAATAACTACATACTTGTTATTATCTCTCTTACTCACTAGTAAATGAGTTTCTTAACAAGAGAATTTTTAAAAGCCTGATTCATCTCTGCATACTTCATGCCTGAATGGGGCTCAAAAGGCAGTACGTCCTCATTAAGTGCCTAGTAAGTGAAGAATGAATGAGTGAATGTCTAAGGGCAAACACACAGAAAAATATTTTAAATCGTATGTATTTGGTTTCAAAACCAATCTCTTCCCATCAGAACTTGAGAAATGCTTTATGAAAACGGCATCATTTCAGGGAACAACCTGTTCCTTTTGTCTCATCTACAGATTAATTTTTCCATAGATTTTGGGAAAATCAGAATCCAAGCCTCATCTGTGCCCATGCAGACATTCAGATATATCTGGACATGGCTATGGTATTGATGGGTTTAGATTAATTTGTTTATTCAAATTTGGTTTGGGGCATTTGTGAACTCCGACACTATGCTACATGCTAGAGATAAAGTACTAAGAAAACATGAATTGTATGAGTGATTTTGCATAGCATGGCAGGGGATTAGGGTTGTAGGTATGCGCTGTAGAGCTTGAAGGGAAGGATGGGATGGACAAGATAGCATTGCCTCTAACTTTTAGCCTGATCCCTGGATTCATGCCTTAGTTCTCAAGAAAGGGATTCTACATGGAGAATTGGAAGAGGGGAGTTGTTTCCCTTGAAGCTTTGAGGGTCTGAATTCAAGTAATGCTTCTTCAGTGCCTCTAGTGACAAACTTCAATATAGAGTGTAAGAATGGGCATTGTTCCCTCTCTGGCATGAAATACGAGTTGCCGCCATTTAGTGATGATTTGACAATTTTATATTTGGTAATATAGCTTTGGGTGTACTAGTAATTATCTCCTTGGCATGGCCTCGCCCCAGTCTCAACATTGTCACTAGCCATAGAAAGGGCCCATGAATCTCCATGTGCCCTCACTGATACCACTATTAGGAATGATCTTTGCACAGATAACCACCTGGCTTGCTCCTTCGTCTCCAACACGTCTCTGCGTAAATGGGTCTTTCCTGACTCCCCTGTTTAAAAAGCTTGTCCTCACCTCCATCACTCTGCATTTTCTTACTCTGCTTTAGTTTTCCTCACTGCATTTATCACAACCTAGCATATTGTATATCTATTTGCCTATTTATTTCCTGTCTCCTGCCATGTGAGCCCCATGAGAATAAGAACATTTCTGATTTTTTTTACATTGTTTTATACAGTCACTTGAACAGAGAATATTATGTAGGAGATGTCTAACAAATATTTGTTGAATGAATTAATGACCCTAGTGCCATGAAGAATAGATATTAGCAGCAATGTCAGAATCAAAGCGCTGTCATCAATTGACTAAGAGTGTAAAAACATGGCATAAAGGTTAATGAATTGTAAATAACTCTTCTGTTGGCCTTTAGAGGTGACTGGGGCAGACTTTTAAAAAAATGCTGGAGGTTATCCATTGCGTAGTTAAGAAGTAGTCTTCCAGGAGTTCCATTATTACTATTAATTCAACTTCATTTGTACTTATATCTTGGTGAAGCCGGAAGAAACCGCAATGTGATCTTAAGTATCTTAATGCATACTATAATTAGTATGCATCAGGAACTAATGGTATCTCTTGAGTTGGAGTCAACTGATGTATTTTTGGGAACATGCTTGTTCCATGTGACCTAGGGCTCAGTTTGAGTTCTCCAGGAATAATTAACTTTACAAAGACTTTGAATATCCAGATTGCTTTGATTTTCAACTCACCCTTTCTATTTTAGGTGAATTAAATTCAAATGCACGGAATTTGTTTAAAAACCCTGGAGACACTTTCATGATCTGCAGATCGGTCCTTGTTGTTGCCTAGCACCCTTCCCGGGAATGTGGCACTTCATTAGGTGTCTTTCTTTCCATCTAATGGACACTGTTCTCCCTGACTTAGGTGACCTTTGTAACCCTGATCTTGTATTTGGCATAATGCCCCATTGCACAGCTAAGGCAAATCATAGTTGAAGATCATTACAGGTTTAATAATAACAGAAGAAAAATTCAATAGGGAAAGTTATTTACAATTGCTGCAAGATGCAGTTATTCTTAGGAACTATAGACAAAGTCTTTCCCATATGATAAAATTAGCTATCTGCCTGGAATAGGTCTGAAAATATTTAATATTTATATGCAAGGTTACTCTCAATCACTATTTTATGTCCAG